AGCACAAGAGACCCCAAACTCCTGCCGGACCCTAAAGTGCCATGTGACCCTGCCCACGCACTCCTCTGGCTGCACTGTGTCCTCCGAGTCATGCTGTTCCCTGTCTCAAAGACTCCCCTCTATCTTCCAGGCTTCATCCCCCCATCCTCTGCCTGCCCAGCACCCACCTCCTGGTCATTTAATATATAGCTCAGGCTGTAATCCCAGCACTTTAGGAGGCCAAGGGCAGAGGATCACTTGAGCCCAAGAGCTTGAGGCCAGCCTGGGCAACATAGTGAGACCCCCCCCTCCAACTCCACCAGAAATGTGAAAGAAAGAAAAAAAGATGTAGCTCAGGCATTAACCACCTCCAGGTAGCCTTTCTGATGGTTCCATATGCAGGTGGGCTCAGGGGCAGCCTCTGTTCTCTGGGAATCAGAAGCTGCCTCCCTGGGGAAATGCTCCTGGGTCAGCTCCTGCAGGAGCCCAGGCACAGGATGACAATGGATGGATCAGGACTAAGGGCCAGAGATGTGGAGAGGCAAACTGCTTCGGGACGCACTTAGTGAGATCAGTGGGATTTGCTGCAGGGTGGCTGTCAGGGTGCAGGGGAGAATTCTGGACCAGCCCTGTCTTCTCTCTCTTCCCTCCAATCCCAGGAAGAGCAAATGAGGCAGAAGGACTTGTGGGCTTGGCTCTCTAGCTCCATCCTCAGAAACTCAGGGACTGTCAAGTTCCATGGCTGGGAGGGAGCCTTTCTGGACAGAGTCCTGGGCATCCGGGGCCAGGAGCTGGGTGTCTTGTGGAACTCCGGCCTCCTCTTCTCCATGTCGCTGATGTCCTTCCAAGCGTCTATATTTCTGGTGATGTCACTCTAGTCTCTAGGCCGAGCAGGACTGGGGAAGGAGTGTGAGGATCGTGGGTGAGCGGGGGAGGTAGATGGAGTCTCCCAGATCCTACCACCCTGTGCATCAAAACCCACACATTCTGGATCCTGTTCTCTCGGGGTTCCTGCTGTCTTCTGAATGAAAGAATTAATCACGTCATTCTGGTGAAGGCAGTGGCTGATGAGGTCTGCTGTTCTGAGAGTTCCAGGCTTCTACTGAAGTGGAGGAGGGTTCAGGTACAGGTGGGCTGCAGAGGTAGAATCCCGGGTCTGAGTGGCTTCCCTGCTGCTGGCCAGCAGATGTCCATAGCCACTCTGCCGCTGACGTGATCCTTGTCTTGCCATTCTGTAATTTATTTCGGATGGCTGTCAGAACAGGCTGCCTAAAGCACAGCCTTCGGAAGAACGTAACAATGTTGATACATAGGCCCGTCACAGTGACTCACACCTGCCATCCCAGCTCTTTGGGAGGCTGAGGTGGCTTGAACCTGGGTGGTGGAGGTTGCAGTGAGCCAAGATTGTGCCACTTCACTCCAGCCTGGGCGACGGAGCAAGACTTCATCTCAAAAACAAAACAAAACAAAACAAAAGGATCACAAATGGCACCAACACCTAGAGCCCTCCAGTGCTGCTCTCCCCCGGAGTCCCCAGACTCTATCTATCACCTTCACAGAGAGGCCTTTCCTGACCACCTTCTCCACCACCGCAGCACCCCTGCTCGTGCTAATGCACTCTACACCTGCACCTGATTTCTCTTTTTTATTTTTGCTCTGTTCCCCAGGCTGGAGTGCAGTGGTGCAATGTTGGCTCACTGCAACCTCCAACTCTGAGTTTGAGCAATCCTCCCACCTCAGCTCCTGAGTAGCTAGGATTACAGGCAGGTGCCACCATGCCTGGCTCTTTTTTTTTTTTTTTTTTTTTGTACTTATAGTAGAGATGGCATTTCACCATTTTGGCCAGGCTGGACTTGAACTCCTAACCTCAAGGGATCCATCCACTTCAGCCTCCCAAAGTGCTGGGATTACAGGTGTGAACCACCACACCTGGCCACACCTGCTTTAGTATTTGTTCTTCATTTGTTCCACTTGATGTGCTGTCTGTGTTAATGGTTTTTTTAATGGATCGCCTGTCTCTTTCCCCCTCGTTAGAATGATAAATCCATTAAGAGAGCAGCAACTTTGTTTTGCTCATTGCTGTTTCCCCAGAGCCTGGAACACCACCAGATAGATGATAACCAGGCAGTAGTTATTAGTGGAAGGAATGAATGTAAGAAAGAATGCCGGGTGCTGTGGCTCATGCCTGTAATCCTAGCACTTTGGGAGGCTGAGGTGGGTGGATTGCTTGAGGTCAGGAGTTCGAGACCTGCCTGAACAACATGGTGAAACCCCATCTCTACTAAAAATACAGAGGTTAGCTAGGAATGGTAGTGCAGGCCTGTAATTCCAGCTACTCAGGAGGCTGAGGCAGGAGAATTGCCTGCACCCAGGAGGTGGATGTTGCAGTGAGTCGAGATTGTACCACTGCACTCTAGCCTGGCAGAAAGAGAGAGACTGTCTCAGAAATAAATAAAAATAATTTTAAAAAAAGAATTAATGAAAGACAAGAAGGCCTAGATAGAAGGAATAAGTTACAGTAATCAATAGTGCACAAGGGAAATTACAGTGAATGAAAATTTATTTGAATATCTAAAGATAGCTAGAAGAGAAGGATTTTCATGTTCCCAGAACAAAATATTTGAGGTGATGACTGTCTCAGTTACCCTGATTTGATCATTACATATTGTCTACACCTGGGGTCCCCAACCCTCCTGGCCACGGATCAGTAGCAGTCTGTCGCCTGTTTTTGTTTTTGTTTTGAGACAGAGTCTCACTCTGTGCGGTGGTACCATCGAGGGTCAATGTAACCTCCACCTCTGAGGTTCAAGCAATTCTGCCCCAGCCTCCTGAGTAGATGGATTACAGGCATGTACCACCACGCCTGGCTATTTTTTGTATTTTTAGTAGAGACAGGGTTTCACCATGTTGGCCAGGCTGGTCCCAAACTCCTTGTCTCAAAGTGCTGGGATTACAAGTGTGAGCCATCGTGCTCAGCCTTCTTTTTTTTTTACGCAGAATTTCACTCTTGTTGCTGAGGCTGGAATGCAATGGCATGATCTTGGCTCACTGCAACCTTCATCTCCTGGATTCAAGCGACTTTCCTGCCTCAGACTCCTAAGTAGCTGGGATAACAGGTATAAGCCACCACACCAGGCTAATTTTTGTATTTCTAGTAGAGACAGGGTGTCTCTATGTTGGTCAGGTTGGTCCCAACCTCAGGTAATCCACCTGCCTCAGTCTTCCAAAGTGCTGGGATTACAGGCATGAGCCACAGCCCCAGTTCACCTGTGAGGAACTGGGCAAGTAGCACAGCAGGTGAGCAGCAGGAGGGGGAGGGAGGCTTCATCTGTTTTCACAGCCACTCCTTATTGCTGGCATCACCGCCTGAGCTCCACCTCCTGTCAGATCAGTGGTGGTGGTGTTAGAGTCTCATAGGAGCGCAAACCCTACTGTAAAAAGCCCATGTGAGGGAGCTGGGCTGCGTGCTCCTTATGAGAATCTAATGCCTGTTGATCTGTCACTGTCTCCCGTCACCCCCAGAAGGGACCGTCTAGTTTCAGGAAAACAAGCTCAGGACTCCCACTGATTCTACATTACGGTGAGTTATGTAAGTATTTCATTACATATTATGATGTAATAATAATAGAAGTAGGCCGGGCACAGTGGCTCATGCCAGTTATCCTAGCACTTTGGGAGGCTGAGGCAGGCGGATCACCTGAGGTCACGAGTTTTAGTCCAGCCTGGCCAATGTGGTGAAACCCTGTCTCTACTAAAAGTACAAAAGCTAGCTGGGCATGGTGGCAGGGACCTGTAATCCCAGCTACTTGGGAGGCTGAGGCAGGAGAATTGCTTGAACCCAGGAGGCAGAGGTTGCAGTGAGCCAAGATTATAGCATTTTGGGAGGCTGAAGTGGGCAGGTCACCTGAAGTCAGCAGTTTGAGACCAGCCTGGCCCAGTGGTGAAACCCGTGTCTAATAAAAATACTAAAATTAGCTTGGTGTGGTGGTAGGCACCTTTTGAGCTACTCGGGAGGCTGAGGCAAAAGAATTGCTTGAACCCAGGAGGTGGAGGTTGCAGTGAGCTGAGATCATGTCCCTGCACTCCAGCCTGGGTGACAGAGCAAGATTCTGTCTTAAAAAAAAAAGGGCATGCCAGTTACCAGTTACAATGGCTTATACTTGTAATCCCAGAACCAGAATGTTGGGAGGCCAAGGTGGGAAGATCACTTAAGGCTAGGAGTTCCAGATAAACTTGGGCAACATAGCAAGACCCCATCTCTACAAAACATTTTTTTAAAAATTAGCCAGGCACAGTGGCATGTGCTTGTAGTCTCAGCTTCTCAGGAGGCTGAGGCAAGAGGATGGCTGGGGCCCAGGAGGTGGAGGCTGTGGTGGTGAGCCATGCTTGTGCCACTGCACTCCAGCCTGGGTGACAGAGTGAGATCCTGTCTCAAAAAAAGAATTCAGAGTAGAGAAAGGTATGAATTGTAAGTTCAAGAATGCCACATCCCAAATTTTCTGCAGAAGTGTTGATGCACACCCCAAGAAATCTGCATTTATTTCCCAGCACTTCCTTAGCAATGTACCCTAAACTGTGGCCTCAACCACAGAGGTTTATTCTCAGAGTTCTGGAGGCCAGGAGTCTGCAATCAAGGGGCTTTTTGTTTGTTTGTTTTTCCTGTGAAGGCTGTGAGGGAGGGTCTGTCCCAGGTCTCACTTCTGGATTCTCAGAACCTCCAGAGTTCCTTGTCTTGTAGGTGGTCTGCTGTCTCTGTCTTGACATTGTCTTCCCTTTGTAGGTGTCTTTGTCCACACATCCCCTTTTTATAAGGACACCAGGCACACGGGATTAGGATTCACCCTCATTACCTCAGCTTAGCTTGATCTCATGTGAAGAGCCTATTTCCAAATAAGGTCGCATCCACAGACCCTGCGGCATAAAGCTTCAGCGTCTTTTGGGGAGACACAGGACAATGCATAACGCTATAGATTTGCAAGTATTTTTAGTTTGAGTTTCTGGGTTTTATTTTTTCTTTTTCACATCAGATGGGTGATGCAATGATATCATAACAAGTTTTGAGGAAGGCATATATCATACAATAGCATGAAAACAACCCAGTCATCATGCTGAGGTTTTGGTTTTTTAATTCTAATTTTTCTTAAAGCAGGGTCTTGCTCTGTTAGGTTGGAGGGCAGTGGTGCAAACATGGCTCACTGCAGCCTCGACCTCCTGGGCTCCAGCTATCTTCCCACCTCAGCCTGTCAAAGTGCTAGGATTACAGAAATGAGCCACCATGCCCACCTTTTTCCTATTTTTTGTTTGTACTTTGCTCTTTTTACTCAAAATGACACCTTTTCAGCTAGGCATGCTGGCTCACCCCTGTAATTCTCAGCACTTTAGGAGGCCAAGGCAGGTGGATCACTTGAGGTCAGGAGTTCAAGACCAGCCTGACCAACATGGTGTAATGCCTTCTCTACTAAAAATACAAAAATGAGCTGGGCATGGTGGTGCGTGCCTGTAATCTCAGTGACTCAGGAAGCTGAAGCAGGAGAACCACTTGAATCCTGGAGGCCGAGGTTGCAGTGAGCCAAGTATACTACTGTACTCCAGACAGCGTGGCAGAGTGAGACTCTGACTCAAAAAATATGTATATATATATATACACATACTTATATACAAACACACACACACACACAAACACACACCTTGGCAATCTTTTTATATATCAGCATTCACTGGTACGATTTAAATTCTATTGTAGAATTCATTTAGATTAATACAATCTAAATACTAGTCTATTAAGTTCTACAACAAAAAAAATAGGCCATGCATTTAAATGATTCAAAGTTCAAAAGCTATGAAAGAGTATAGAACTGAGTCTCCCATACAGCAGCCAGTGGCATATGTGTTTACTGAAATCTAAGTGAGGCGGGGCATGGTGGCTCATGCCTATAATCCCAGCACTTTGGGAGGCCGAGTCGGGTGGCTCACCTGAGTTCAGGAGTTTGAGAGCAGCCTGACCAACATGGTGAAACCCCTTCTCTACTAAAAACACAAAAAGTGGCCAGATGTGGTGGTGAGCCCCTGTAATCCCATCTACTTGGGAAGCTGAGGCAGGAGAACAGCTTGAACTTGGGGGACAGAGTTTGCGCTGAGCCAAGATCACACAACTTCACTCCACCCTGGGCAACAGAGCGAGACTCTATCTCAAAAAGAAAAAAATCTAAATGAATTAACATTAAAGAAAATGAAAGATTTGGTTATTTGGCTGCATGGGCCATATTTCAGGTGCTCCACAGCTGCAGAGGGACCCGAAACATGGTTCTCATTGCAGAAAGCTCTATTGGTTGGTGCTGGTGCAGCCTTAAAGCCACTCTCCCAACCCGCCGAAAGCCAACTACTGTTAGGGTTGTTTTGGTGTTTCCTTTCTGAGATGATCTATGCACACAATCAGCACGTGGAGTTAATGTATCCGCTTAAAAAAAATCAGTGTCTCCCTTGTAGTGTGAATGACCATGTAATAGTCCATGGAATGGAAGGTATTCAACTAGGTTAATAATGAAGTGCCCTTGAGTTTTTCCCAGGTTTCCTCTCTTACAATTATTCTGTGGTGAACACCATTCTCTCTGCAGAGTAAATTCTTAACAATAGAATTCCCTGCCCACGAGGTTTATATGTTTTTCTCATTTTTTTCTCTTTTCTTCCTTTTTTCTTTTCTTTCCTTTCTCTCCCTCACGTTATTTCCTCTCTTTTCCTTTTCCTACCTCTTTCCCTCCCTTTCCCCATGTGTTTTCCCCTTCTCTTCCCCCCTTTTCTCTCTCCCCCACTTTTGTATTTCTTTTACAAGGTCTTCTATGCAATGGCTTAATCCTAGATCACTGCAGCCTCAAACCCCTGGGCCCAAACAATCCTCTTGCCTCAGCCTCCCAAGTAGCTGGGACTAAGGCCTGTGCCACCATGCCCTTCTATTTTTTTCTTTTTTTGTGTGTGGAGATGTGTCTTACTGCGTTGTCCAGGCTCATTTTCATCTTAGTAGGTGCTTTTCAAGAGTTCTTACCCAAGGGTGCCTGGATGGACCTTAGTGAGTCACTTGAAGAGCCCTTGTCATTGTGTTGAAGTTTTGTGTCTGTCTCCTCCATCCTGGGGAGAAGATTTAGAACCTCTATCCCCTTTTCAAGCAGATAGGTGACTTCCAAAAGTATACAAATGTTGGAAGCCTGAGGCGGGAGGATCACATGAAGTCAGGGATTCTGAACCAGGCTGGCCAAGAAGGTGAAACCCTGTCTCTACTAAAAATACAAAACTTATCTGGGCGTGGTGGTGCACACCTGTAAACCCAGCTTCTCAGGAGGCTGAGGCAGGAAAATTGCTTGAATCTGGAAGGTAGAAGTTGCAGTGAGTCAAGATCACGCCACTGCACTCCAGCCAGCGTACAAATCTCAGCTTTAGACTTGATCCCTCCAGGCATGACCACTGGGCACATTCAGCAGTGGAGCTCCTGATTCTGCCTCAGTTTCCAGTGTCTTCTCAGAGAGGCCTGGAGTGGAGCATCTGAAGCCAGGGCTGGATGTCTTGCTGCATAAATACTCTCTCCATTTCCACCTGTGCCATCAGCCTGGGTGGGAAGAAGACCCATGTCAGGGGAGAGCCGTCTTCCTCCTAAAGCCCCATCTGAGACTTCTACCTCACTTCCAGAACTCCCAGGGGCCCTTGAACATCTCATTATTTGCTAAATGTGCAAGCACAGACTGCCTGTACCTCCCCTCGGACCTTCCTGCTGCTCCCTACAGAGCTGTCTGAAGCCTGGAAATGCTTATTTGCCTTTGGAGAAATTCTAGTTCCATCCGCCCCAAACTCATCACAATTACAGTAACAGCCGGCGCTCTGTAACTTTCTGGAGCCTGTTCCAGCAGACAGGAGATCCCTTCTTCAAGTCCTCTTTGTAACTCCATACAAGATGGGGAAACTGAGGCAGATGAGCTCATGAATACAAAGTGCCAGAGCTTGGGTTCAAGTTGTCTCAAAGTTTATGGGATTTAAGGTTGGTGTGGGAAGTGTTTTGTTCGGCACCCCCTCCCCCGATGTGTGAGGGTTGGGTCCTGGGTTGCCTGGAGAACCCCAGTTTATGCCTGTTGACCTGACACATTTGTAACTAGTGTTCTCTTTAACTGCAAAGCGTTGTGGTTTGGGAGAGAAATTCTGTGCTCACCCTGTTCACGTGCACCCTGAGGAAGCTCTGACACCACCGCGCAGCCTCTGATACACACTGGAGAAAGCCGGTGCTAGGATGTGCCTGTCAGCAGGAAAAGCTGCGAGCATCTACATCCACGTGTAGACATATCTGTACACATACATTCATATACACATATCCATATATATACATGTCTTTACACACATCCACACACATGGCTGTACACCCACACATACACACGTCTACATATAGACACATCCATGTACACATACATTGCTGTACACACATATCCATGTATTTCTGTATATCTGTATACCTACATATCTACACACATCCATGTACAGATACATCTGTACACAGATGCACCCATGTCGGTGGAGATCAGGGAAACACAGCACTAAGTAGTGACGGTCTGGTAATAGCGAGTATTGTTTTGACATCTTTTGGGTGAACTGACCAGCTAGTGGCTATCAGAGGGGTGTGTGGTGTGTGTCCGCAGGTTGGCGGGGCCATCAAAGATGATATTTGTAGTTGCTCATGGCTTTTCTAGAGGATCTCCCATGTGGGGCCTTGGAGTGTAGTGAGCTGTCCCCATGGCCCACCTGCCAGTATCCACACCAGTGACCAACAAAGTTCTGGCTTCACTGGCCTCCTCAAGGACTTCGGATTGTATTGTAAGAAACGCTAGTGTGCCATCATTTTATTGTCTGGTCACCACGTGGAGATCAGTTGCTAGCGGTGGGATGGGAGCTGGGAGCTGGGAGGATGTTGCAGTGAGATAGGCACAATGACCAGAGCTGGAGCTGGTGCACAGCAGAGGTGACAGATGGGGTTGATTCTAGTCACATTCCATAGTGACGGTCGACTGAGTTCCTGATGGATCCAATGAGGGGGTTGTCAAGGAGAGAAGAGAAGTCCTTTGTATTTATGTCTGAGTTTGTAACACAGGTTTCTAATTTTGAGACATCTGGAGTTTAAAAAATTGAGGAAGGGCTGGGCACAGTGGCTCACGCCTGTAATCCACCTGTAATAAACGGGCAGATCACTTGGGCTCAGGAGTTTGAGACCAGTCTGGCTGACACGGCAAAACTCCATCTCTACTAAAAATAGAAAAATTAGCTGGGCACTGTGGTGTGTGCCTGTCATCCCAGCTACTTGGGAGGCTGAGGCAGGAGAATCACTTGAACCCAGGAGGCGAAGGTTGCAGTGAACCAGGATCCCTCCACTGCACTCAAGCCTGGGTGACAGAATGAGACTCCATCCCAAGAAAAAACAAAAATTGGGGAAGGATCGGCATAGAAAGCCATTAGCTGGGCTGCTTCCTGCCCTCTCTTCAGTCCCAGCTTGTGTGGTCATGACCGGGCTTGCTGGCCAAGCCTGTCATTCCAGGTGACACCAAGGCCTTTTCAGGGTTAGAGTGACCTGCAGTCACACATGGTTGGCAAGGCTGAGGGGTTCCAGATGCAGCTGGAGATGAAACTGGTGATGGGGGCAGCCGTGTCACCTTTACAGGGAACCTCACGTGGCAGGTGGGCAGCAAGTTGGCCTCTTCACATCGCTGAGCCCTCTGCTGAGTGACCAGGCCTACATGACAGGTAGGAGATGAGACCCCTTGTGCCCTGTCTCCTCCGTGGCCAGGCTAGGGTGTGGGCCAAATGCCTCCCGATGGTCCTCATTACCCCAGCCTCTCAATATCAACATCCCATCCAAGGACAGACACAGGGTCTCAGTGAGTCCCCAGAACCTCCCCCAACCTCCAACTGCCCCCATAAACCTTAAAATAGCAGCTTTTGTGCTGTTTTTATTCTCACCCACGATAAGAAACACATGTAACATTTTGACCTAAAATATACTGGGCATTTAAAACACACACACAAGCTGAGCAGGTGCTGGCCCTGTGTCAGAGCCGGGGTGGTGGTGCCTGGGTGTGTCATTTATGGGTTCTGAAA